AGTCCCACGGTCGAGTCCACCGCGCGTCCCGCGGTCGAGTTCGTCGAGTCTACTGCGTGTCCCGCGATCCGCCGAGTCTGCCGCGCATCCCGCGGTCGAGTCCGCCGCGCCCGTTGCTACTGCTGCTGAACGCCGAAGCGTGACTCGGCGTGTCGCTTCGAATCCAAAGTGGGTCGGGTCAGGTTGACCCGAACCCGAAGCGAGTCGGGTTCGGGTCCGCAAAACCGACCCGTATATAAAAATGGTTCGGGTTCGGGTTCGGATTGACTCGAACAGTACCGGGTCAGTTTCGGGTTTGACCCGAACCCGACCCATGACGCAAAATTGACACCCCTAGATGAAGCCAATGTGTCTTTATATATTTGTTTAGGATGGAGCAAGCATGACTCCTTAAATTTATGCGATTTAAAGAGAACTTCCATCAAGCATTTGGAAGCTCCTACCAATAATTAGATGTTGATTTATGGACACATGTTACGAGGTGAAAAGGGGCATATTTCGTAAAGTTAGGTCTCATGCTGGTGTAATATATATACCACTATTATGCAAGTCATATACCATCATTTGGGGAGTAAGTGTGTAAGTGAGTTAAGCCAGCTCGTGAGCTAGCTCTAGCTCAGCTCGATAAATGACGTTTGAGTTAAGCTTGATGAACGAACGAATCAAGTTTGAGCTAGCCTAGATTCTACATGTTAGCTTGCAAGCTGGTTTGATTAAAAAATTTTAAAATAAAAATATTAATATTAAAAAAAAAATCCTATCTCCATTTCTTATATAAAGTGATTCTTTATTATTTATTTTCTAATTTTAGTTGTAATATAATCTTTTTTTTTTCACTTTCGTTAGAATTAAACTAGAGTTTGAACTCGAATTCAATTAATTAATTAAGCTCAAGCTAGAAACAACTCAAGCTTAACTTGACTAGCCATAAGAGGCATAGGACATACCCACCACAACTTACACATGTAGAAATCCCTTGCTAAATTTCTAATAAAAAAATTTGTCGAGAAGTAGTATTTAATTATTGAACATTAAAATTTTATTTGAGACGGCTTTCTTACTTCTTCTTAAAGGTGGTTTTTTTAATAAAAATTTTAATTTTTTACTTAAAAACTAAGTTAAAAAATATTAATAAAGCTGTCCCAAATGAAATCTAATTTGTCACAAATCATATTAATATTCTACAAAGCTCTATTTTTCATATAAACATAGGTATCAAAACTTGGTTTATATGTTAAAAATATATATCTCAATTATAACACCTGTGATTAGAACGTTTTAAGTCTAGAATCTGTTGCTCTTTACACTTTCCTTGAGCTAGAAATCACCATTTTTAAAATAATTAATATCTTAACATCCTCTAAGTTTATTATATCACAACCATATAACATGATACCATGTCAGTGCTTGAAAGAGATTTTTAGGTAATGATCAACTATTATTGATGATTTTTATAACATCCAACATTTACTTTTATGCTAACCTCTATTTAATTACTTTCATACTACTTCTTAAAGCCGTACTCAAAAGCTGTTTTAAAAAACAGTAAGAAAGTCGTTCCAAACGAAATCACGTATTTTTGTTACGGCAAACTTTTATTGTAGCCGATCTTACAAGTATTATAATAAAGCCATTTGAGATCTAAAGGTTAAATGATTTAGAACATCGGAGAACCAAATTTCGTTTAGTGGTGCACTTGTATTTGGTAGATATATCATCCTAATTAGTAGCAAGTGACTAGTCATCTCCAGAAATATCAGAGCAACTAAAGGAAACAAGAAAAACAGAAACTGAGGCTGGCATCAACGGAACAAAGCTTCGGTTCAGTAGGACCTATTTGGGATATATGGTTGTGCAAATGCAAGGATGAAGATGATCATTGCGTCTCCTCTGCTTCCAGATCAGCAGCATCCATGGATTCATTAATGGATTCTTCAGCTTCAGGAAGAGGAGAATGTTTGTCATCATTGGAATACAAAATTTTTAGTATTGCTTTCGTCATCTGTCAAAAGAAAATGATACCATTCTTCCATTAATAAACTTAAATTATTACAACAAATAATGAGGGTAGAAATGTGGCCAGAAAGCTTGCATCCTTCTTTCTATATATATATATATATATCATTCTATCATAGCATTATAAAACTATAATCCTTCTTTTTCATCAACGCCAATTCATAAACATAATGCATTGAGGCAACTTATTTAACAGTACAAACACTAAAAGATGATAATGAGGTAGGGAATGTTACAAGTTTCATATCTATCAACCTCTAACTAACTCCTACAAATATGTTACTTATCATCATCCACCAAGCATCTATATTATGATACTTAACACAATGAACCTAACATATTTAAGCTCGCTACCTAATAAGTCTTAGAACTATATAGGAATATAGTTGTATTATGATGAAGTATTCCACAAATACAAGCAAATAAAAAAAGAGAGAGAAGAGAGAGAGGGGAGAGGGGCTTAAACTTTTAGTCATAATAGAAAGAAACTGTTGTAGTAGGGGAGAGAACAGAGGAAGAAGCACTCGCAGCCGAGAAGAGAAGACAATAATAGTAGCAGCAACAACAACATCTTATTCCCAATGTTCAACCCTTAAATCTGATTGAACTGAGGCTTTGAACATAGTTAAGAGCTTTATTTCTTGTCAAACATTAAACATGTCAAAACTATGCAATGCACAATAAAAATAATCTTTATATCTTACCAAGGAACAAACATCAGAAGAAAAGTTAGCTGCATTGGATACAAAAATAGTACGTAGTGCTAGCTGATGATAGAGATGTCCATACCGGCAGATGCTCAACTTCAGGTTTTTGGCAGAGTATTTCAACATAGCGTAGCTTCTCAAAGTAAAAATCTCTTTCTTTCTCCATACTCTCCAATGAAATCTTCATTTCATTAATCTGCATAATGTAGGAAAATGCCCACCCATATGTTATGCTAATTGAAATAAACAATATCTCAGTTTAACATTAAGGGCTGGGCAGTAGGTCATTCTTGAAATTCTAATCTTATCCTAGAAACAAAACCCAATAACAGACAACAAAATTGACTGTTTCGTTTAGATTATTGATCGTGACGCCGTAGAAATGTAAATAGAAAACCAATAAATAGAGATTCACTGAAGTGTAATCAAGAAATAAAATGCAGATATCAAGACAGTGGATGCTTTTTCTCTGCCTTCTAAAATTTCAAGTTGTGGAAAAAGCAAGGCTAGGAACTTCATCTATCCTGACAAAAGGTCATCAATATAGTAGTCTGCAACTTAACCCTCGAAAGATACGCCAGTTAAGTAAATTTAGCTTAACTGCTACTATGCAGATAGGTTAAAACCCAAAAGAAAAGAGACTACCTTATGCTAGCTGGAATGAAACAAGCAATTTTGAATATGAAAAACGGAAGAGGTCTGGAAGGCTCAGCACTTAGTTTGTAATACCTTTTCAGATAGTTCCTGGATGTAAGCATTAGAATTCTCCAGAGTTGAATTCGGAGTCGCGGTTGAATGTTTGGTGCCTTAATGGAAAAATTAGAAATGAGAGATAATAGAAAGATAATAGGGTAGACATTAGAGAATAAACAGTAAGTGAACCACGAGAGCAGCACCATCAATTGAGCCTCGATTCCCTACGTTGCTAGCCTGCAGTGATTTGGATATTTTTTGAGAAACTCTGATATTTCTTTCTTTCCCTCCTTTGCATCGTCTTTCCACTGGGTTGTAGTTCCTGCAGGCAATATATTAATAAGATAAACATGTTAATCCTGATTTCAGGTGGAAAATATGCTGAGATTCAAATAGAGATTTTTAACTGTAGAGGAATTATCATACTCGTTCATAATGCCTCCATTTACAGAATCACAGTAACGCTTCAGCCATTGTAAGAACTCTAAGTTGTCCAGCGGTCTTCCTTTAACAAGCTTGTTGACTTCAATATGCTATCACGCATTCAAGTTGCAACCATATTATAATTTTGCAAAAGCTTTTGAATCCAAATTAAAAAAACGAACACATCTCAATGTAAAATGCAATAATACAGCCTTATACTACTTGTTTCTGCGTGAGTTGGCATCTGCCTCAGGACATATGATTCAAGGGCACGATTAAGGCTTATAACAAGCTTTAAGGACTTGCTCTTGACTTGAACTCTAAATTATCGAGTTCAACTTAAGTCAAACAGACTAAATACATATTAAATCTATTCCAATTTTGCTTTAAGGGCTTGCACTTGACCACCATTGCTCATTGACTATCTCTCGACCACCAGAGTCAAACTACGATATCCAACTACCATTGCCCAAGTATGTCATCCGACCACTGTTGTCCAACTAAAATCTCCTGAACACCATCATCGGACTGTCATCTCTAGACCATTGTCACCCAACCATGATCTGCTGACTACCATCATCTAATTATAGTTGCACGACTACAATCTCTCGAACACTGTTGCTTGAATGTAATCTCCCATTCGTCGTCTCCCGACTACAATTTTTTTACCACTATCACCTAATTGCAGTTTCCCTACAATCATCACGCAACAATTGTTGGTCGACACTAACATCAACATATGTTATTTTGTCACAAATCATTGCCAACAATGTCAACCCACACCATCATTAATAAGGCCAATGTACACTGTCGACACAAACAATGACTTCAAACTTCAAAACCAATATTTCTACTGAAATTCTTGGTCTCTAATCTTGAGCGTTGGAACAAACAGCAAACGATCTCTTAAAGCCAACTTCAATGCCTCAAGGCTCTTCTAACTTCCATCATAGAATTCATTTTCTATAGTGTCTATTATATCATATCAATACATTATCCTATTACGGGGAAGGGCATCATTTTTAACCGACAAGACAACATACACTAGTGGAATCATTTCAAGTGGGCTTGGTCCATTTGAAGTATCAAAACTTGAGACAACATACACTATTCAGTTTCCTGCAGCATTCCTGCCGCCACTCCAGAAATTCTTCCGCTACATTATATTCAAATTTTAGCCTTAAAGTTCAAGAAACGGCCCAACAAGAACAAATACCAAATTCCTGCATCAAGAACAATTGCAGCCTGCGACAGAGGTTGGAATGACCGTTGTATGGAGACAAAGGTCAGAAGGATTGTAGCTGGTCGGGTGTAAGTTCGGCTACAATTGGTGGCCGGGCGGAGGTCCACCTAGGGACGATGGTCGGGCAGAAATACGATGACAGACAGTCAGACAGAAGTTCAATGTCAGGTAAAAGTACGACGGAAGATTGGGCATCAGTAGGTTGTCTGGGGATGTCCGAGCGACAGTTGATGGTCTGACGGAAGTCCGCCGTCACTTGGTGGTCCAGCGGAAGTCTAGCGTTAGTCAGTGGTCCGGCAGAAGTCCGGTGTCAATCGGTGGTCCAGCGGAAGTCTGGACGTCAGTTGGTGGTTCAGTAGAATTCAGGCGTCATGCGGTGGTCTGGAGGAAGTCTGTCATCAGGAGGTGGTCTAGTAGAAGTTGGGCAGTGGTCCGGCAAAAGTCCGACGTCAAGCAGTGGTCTAACGGAGGTCTGGGCAACAGTAGGTGGTTCGACGGAAGTCCGGCATCACTCGATGGTCCGACGGAAGTCCGGCATCACTCGGTGGTCCGACGGAAGTCCGATAATAATCGTTGGTCCGATAAAAGTCCGGTGTCAATCGGTGGCCCGGCGAAAGTCCGGGTGTCAATTGGTGGTCCGGTAGAAGCCCGGCGTCAGACAGTGGTCCGTCAGAAGTCTGTCATCAGGCGGTGGTCCAGCAAAAGTCGGGTCGTGGTCCGGCGGAAGTCTAGCGTTAAGCGGTGGTCCGGCAGAAGTTCGAGCAACAGTCGGTGGTCCGACGGATGTCCGGCGTCACTCGGTGGTCCGGTAGAATTCTGGTATTAGTCGGTGGTCCGACAAAAGTCTGGTGTCAGTCTGTGGTCCAACGGATGTTCGGCGTCAGTTGGTGGTCCGATAGAAGTCCGGAGTCGGGCGGTGGTCCGACAGAAGTCTTGAGATGGGCGGTGGTCCGGCGGAAGTCCGACATCTAGCGGTGGTCTGGTGGATGTCCGGTGTCAGGCGGTGGTCTGGCGAAAGTATGGGCGCTAGTTGGTGGTCCGACAAAAGTCCGGCGTCTGACAGTGGTCAGGTGAAAGTCCAACGTCAGGCATTGATCGGGCGGTGGTCGAAGAAGAGCTAGGTGGCTAGAGCGATCTCTGATATCTCTTCTTGCTTACTTGGGGTCTGGGGTCTCCCCCACCACTTTCATGAGAAGTGAGACATCTATTTATAGATTTTTTACAATGGCATGGCCAATAAATAGGAGGAAGATGAAAAGTAAATTGAGAGTGATTTGAATGGACGGTTGATGTCAATTCCCTTAGTCGTGGACTGTTTAATGGATATTCGAATGTCTTTATGATATCAGAATTCGACGATCTTGAGCTTGTTGGATTCGTATCGTCGAGCAGCTTGATTTGACTATAAGCATGTCACGTTTGGATATTGTTTGGTAACCCGAATTATGGTTTGAACCTTCATAATGTTCTTTGTGTCTTTGATTTGTACTCATTTGGGCTCGGATTAAGTCGAATTTGGTGTTGTTGGGTTCGCATTTTTGATAGGTTTAGTTCGATTATAAGTTTGTTGGAATCGAAGTTCAGATGGTCTCAATTTTAATTTTGGAAGTTTCCAATTTGATTTGCCTCAAGATTCGTGCCCTATCAAGATAATTTTGGATGCTATATTAAGAATACACATAAATATTTTTCTGGATGTGGTATTATATCTTTTATCGAAATATGGACCTTTAAAGCATAAGAATACTTCGATTTTCACAACACTCCTGAATATCATCGTTTTAGCATAGCATCATTTCATTTTGAAGGACTACGGCTACTTGGTACAAAGAGTTACACATGAAAGATCTTTCTGCTTCTTTTTCATCTCTCAACCTTGAGAGCAAGGTTACTTTTCATGAAGATGGAAGTGGTAAGAAACAATATATTTTTTTGGATTCAAAATTAGTGCAACAAGAATGTCAAGAATTGATGAACACTTCAAAAAATCTCTTGACAACCATTGCTCATTGACTCTCTCTCAATAACCATAATCAAATTATGATATCCAACTACCATTGCCCAAGTACGTCATCCCGACCACTATCGTCCGACTAAAATCTCCCAAACTCCATCGGACTGTCATCTCAAGACCATTGTCGCCTGACTATGATCTGTTAATCACCATCATCCAATTATAGTTGCACGACTACAATCTCTCGAACACTGTTTCTTGACTATAATCTCCCAATCGTTGTCGCTCGACTACAATCTTTTGATCACTATCACCTAATTACAGTCTCCCTACCATCATCACGTAACAATTGTTGGTCGACACTAACATCAATGTCTGCTATTGTGTCACTAGTCATTGCCAACAACGTCAACCCACACTATCATTAATAAGGCCAATGTACACTGTCGACACAAACAATGATTTCATACTTCAAAACCAATATTTCTACTGAAATTACTGGTCTCTGATCTTTTTTCATCGAAGGAGAACGTTGGAACAAAAAACAAACGATCTCTTAAAGCCAACTTCAATGCCTCAAGGCTCTTTTAACTTTCACCATAGAATTCATTTTCTATAGTTTGTGTCTACTATATTATATTAATGCATTCTCCTATTACCGAGAAGGGCATCATTTTTAACCAACAACATACACTAGTGGAATCATTTCAAGTGGGCTTGGTCAATGATTTTTCTCTTTATGGGTTTCCACTCAAAAACTCTAGGGTCTATTATAAATCTTCTTTATCTCTATATATGTTGAATCTTAATATAAAATTAAGATATTAAACAATTTCTGTCTATTGCCATGAATATTCTACATCACAATAGAAATAACTCAAATAACTCTCCAAATTTTGAAATTTAGGCCTCACGCAAATGAGGAGATAGTTTCTATTGGAAAGTAGCACTCACTACACTTGCAACTAGCTAGATAGATACACATCCAACTAGCACTCAAGCTTTTAAGCAACAATATATTCTTTTGGATTCAAAGATAGTACAACAACAATGTCAAGAATTGGTAAACAATTCAAAAAATCAGCATCAAGATAATAAAATATTTAAAGTCTATTATAGAAGAAGAAGGAAGCAAATCTATCAAAGATTAAGAGCACTATAACAACGGGCCAGCTATAACAGATCGTGGTTCAATTTATTTCAACATTAAATTGGTCTCAAACCCATTGCATGTTCTTTTATTTTACTTGTATTGAACCAGCTAGTCTAGTCCTTTATTAAACCCAAAATTGGTTTATGTAAATGTTAGAAATAGACTCTAAAGGTTGTAATTGAATTTAGGAAATAAGATCTCTGGTTTCTTCATTTTCTAATCTCTCTTCTTCCCCTTCTTCTTCAGGAGTCCACATCTACTCAAAAGGTGCATTCCCCTTCTTGATGTAGATCAAGAAGCATAACAAATGATGCTCTCATTGCACTAAAAATCCTACTTCCCCCTCCCGACCAGCAGTCTCCACCGCAGCCAACACTTCTTTTCCACCACCAGCCCTCTTCTTCTCCCCAAAAACTTACCTTGACAACTCCTACCCTACTGCCCAGCACTCTCCACCACAGCCAGCCCTCTTTCCAGCCACTACACATCTTCTCCTCCACAGAAACTCAATTCTCCACCTCCTCATCCATGGGGCGAGCAGTCTCCATTACCACAGCCTTCATTTCAGCCTGCTAACCTGCTGCATTCAAGAATAACATCAAGAAATCAGCACCATTTAGATTCTCCGTTCACCTTCAAAAATTTGCTGCCTTCAAGAATATGCCATCAGTTTCTATTTTCAGCTGCAAGAAACAGTCAGCGGAGCATCAGAATTGATCCTAGCATCAAGAATAGGCACAGAGATCAGATTCAAGAACAG